AAAAAAAAAAAAAAAAAAGAAAATATCCAATGCTCCGTGCTAAGCAGTTCTCATCGCATAGAATCTTTGATAAAGGCTTCCCACGTGAGCCCTGCTGGAGTCAACATCTGGGAGCTGACATACTCCTTTTGAAGTCTCCCTCTGTCTCCCACCCATGGAGAGTGTTAAGAAAGAGGACCTGGGGCCTGGGTTCCACTCCCACCCATGTCACCAAACAACCCAACACTGTCTGCTGTGGCTGATGTTTCATGTGTAGAACAAAGACATCCACCGTGATGGGTGCTGAATCCTTTCTATAACCCTTACGTACCATTTTTATTATTATGACACATGTTAGAAGTTGGATTTAAACCAATATAGAAAATGGTCTCAAGCTCTCTTTTTTCCATTTTAAACAGCTTTAGAACTTACAAAAATGTACATTAGTATGAGTAGAATGCCGAATCATTCTACACATTCAACATAACTGATAATGTTAATTGCTTTTAAAGGCACCTATAATTTGTACTTTATAGAAAATAGTAGATAAAAGTGATCATTACAGATTAGTTAAGGATTTTATTGGTTTCCTGAGCCATTGAGAAAATCAAATAATAATACATTGCTCTCTAGTACACAAAATTAGTATAAATGAAAATATTGTGATCTTAATTATAAGATATATTTACATATGATCCTATCTGTACACATGGCTTTGTAAGCATATGTCAGCTTCTAGTTCAGTCTTCAGAACACCCTATGAGGTAAGTACTTTTCTGATATTCATATTATATGAAGAGACAAGGTGGACAGGTTGGCTCGTGAATATTTAGTAGGACTTTTTGTCTTAATAGGAGGAAGAAGAAAGGAAATCCGTATGTGTCAGCTGAGGCTCAGAAAACAGGTTGGTTAAAACCTCCATCTACAGTTCTATTCTGTCTTTAAGGAAGGGGCAAGGTCCGTTAATTCAGTGCATTTGTAGGACTGGCAATAAGCTTAGTGGTAGAATCCCTGCCTAACGTGTGCAGGGCCCTGGGTTCCGTGTCCTGTAAGCCCCTTTATCTGTGGGCACTATGTTCCAAGACACCAGTGGTTGCTCAAGTCTGTAGATAGAACTAAATAATAGATATAGAAAGTTTTGACATGCCGCCGGGCGGTGGTGGCGCACGCCTTTGATCCCAGCACTCAGGAGGCAGAGCCAGGTGGATCTGTGTGAGTTCGAGGCCAGCCTGGTCTACAGAGTGAGTTCCAGGAAAGGCGCAAAGCTATACAGAGAAACCCTGTCTCGAAAAAAAACCAAAAAAAAAAAAAAAAAGTTTTGACATGCCTAGCTCTGATAGAGTGTAGTTTATATATTAGACACTGAGAGATTAACAAGCAGCTAAATAATCATAGAATAGGACAGTTATAATGTACTGAAATAGAATGGCCAGTATCACCATTTTCCTGTGGGTGCGTCATCAAGTAAAGTGCCTAAACAGGCGTGTTTTAGTTTCTTTCCCTGTTGCTGTGATGAAATAATCTTTAAAAAGAGCCATTTAAAGGAGAGGAGTTGTTTACATTCACAGTTCAAGGTACAGTCCATCATGGTGGGAAGGAGAGATAGCAGGAACTTGAAGTGAACTGGTTCCATCGCATCCACTCTGGGAGAGCACAGAGAGGTGAATGCACGCTGCCGCCCAGTTCTCCCTCTCCAGTTACAGTTCAGGACCCCAGGCAGGGCTCGGTCCCATCATGGTGGGTGGGTATTCCCACCTCAGCTAATACAGTCAAGATAATCCCACCAGACACCCCTTTCCCAGGTAAATCTAGAGACTGTCAAATTGACCATCACCCTAGAGTAGCATATAGCAAGTGGATCCACCAGACTGGGGGGTGGGGTCACAATCCAGGCAGCATTGCACGAGAATTTATTCTTCTTCTAAGAACTGCATACTGTTTAAAATATGAATTACTTCTGGAATTTTTCCATTTAGTACTTTTGAATCATGGTTTCTTTGTTTTTTTTGTTTTTTTGTTTTTTTGTTTTTTTGTTTTGGGAAAATAAACTGTAGGTAAGAGGAACCTACTATATAGTTTTTTTGTTTTGTTTTTTTATAAAGATAAGTTCTATCACATGAATGAGCAAAGCCACAATGAAGAAATTTACTGTGTCTAATCTGCCTTGTACTTCAGAGTGTTTATGCCACCAGATCTGTATTTAGCATGAGCCCCTCCCATTTATACTCATTTCTGTATGTGTACTGAAGATTAGATTGCTACATACACTGTCTGTCATCAAGGAGACGTGACTGCAGCCCTGCCAGTGACCTGAGCATGTGCTTGGCCTGGGTTCTCGTCTTCAAACACAGTAAGCAAAGGCAGACAGGCCTGGTGAGATGGCCGGATGTGATCCCTCAGCCCACATAATGGTAGAAGAAGAGAACTGACTCCAGAGAGCTGTCCTCTGACCTCTGCACACACACACTACATACGCTACATACATGGTCAATAATAATCACGACAAGTAAAAAACCATTCACGCATGAAGTATTTTCAAACCTCTGTTTTGCACAACAGGATTAAACGGTGGTACACAAGAACTCTACCATTGAGCGATACCACCCCCCACCCCCACCCCCACACCTTTTCACTTTTTATTTTAGATAGGGTCTCACTAAGTTTCCTAGGCCAGTCTTAAGCTCACTTTGTAGCTCAGGCAGGCCTTGGAACTTTTTTCCTTCCTGCCTGAGCCTCCTGAGTAGCGTAAGATCATAGGACTGTGCAAATAGACCGGACATCTTCCAGTATTTCTTAGGCCATAGCTAACTCACTGCTGTGTCTGCTTTTTGTTTCTTCCATTGGTAGTTTTCTGTGGCCTTGACATAGTGTCTCAGTGTGTAGGCCAGGCTTAACCTTGAATTCACTATAAAGCCCAGGCTGGCCTGGAGCTCCCAGTAATCCTCCTGCCTTGGCATCCTTAGTGCTGGGATTATAGGTGAATACCACTGACCTGTGTCCTAAGAATTCTCCAGAACACACACATGATCCCTGCCTGATCCATTCCCAGCAAATACAGTGGAGGCCTGAAGATGCTGAGAACAGGCCAAGTCTAAACGGCAGCTGTGTTGTGTCTGGGGTACGAGTCTTATGCGAATGATGGAAAACTGGGCCAGGGTGGCTCCAGAGCTTGGAGGCTACACCCATTTTTATGTGTATGGGTGTTTTGCTTGTCTGCATGTATGTCTGTGTGCCTATGGAGTCCAGAAGAGGGTGCTGAATCCCCTGGGACTGGAGTTACGGATGGTTGTGAGCTGCCATGTGGGTGATAGCAATTGAAAGGGAGTCCTGGAAGAGCAGTCTGTGCTCTTAACCACTGGACCACCTTTCCAGTCCACAAATCCACTTAACACCATGTGTGGGAGCTGGGCATGGTAGTGACATACGCCTTTAATTCTAGCACTCAGTAGGCAGAAGCAGGTGGATCTCTGTGAGTTCAAACCTGGTCTACATAATGAGTTCCAGGACAGCCACAGCTATGTAAAGAGACCCTATTTCAAAAAAAAATAAACAAAGCCATCAGTGGATACCCATTGAAGGGTTCATCTCACTGTATCATGCTCAGTATACACAACTGACTTTGAGCTGTGGCCGTGGGTTTATCAGCATCCTGCAAGAGACTGACTTCGGATACATGGAGAACACATAGGGTATGTGAGTTACATGTCTGATGATACATTGTTTCCTCTTCTCTTTGTTCCAGGCTGTTGGAAGCAGATTAAATATCCCTTTGCTAGGCATCAGTCGACTGAATTTACCATCAGCTATGACAATGAGAAGGAGATGACACAAAAGCTGGATCTTATCACTAGTGACATGGCCGGTGAGTGTCATACCCCAGGGACAGTGCTCTTAGGAGGTTCTGCTTGTGCGAGACAGGAAACAGGACAGCGGGAAGGCTAAGATCCTTTATTATAGCAGAAGTGTGCTTTTTTTTTTTTTTTTCCTGTACTCTGCAGAATTTTAAGCTGACACTGAGATATTAGTCAGTAGTCCCTGGAGCTGAGTCGAGTACCCCTGCAGGGCACGGAATGACACAGAGGGTGAAGGTCCATAGCACGGCTAGTCTCTGGAAGCTCCTCATCTGTTTGCTACCCGGGTTTTTATTAAAGTAGGGGGAAAGAGGGTCAGAAAAGACTAATTGAATGATGAACTAATACATCTCCTGCCTTTGAGCAGAAGGAGCTACATTAAGGGACCTGTCAGTCACAATGGCTCAGTGTGTCTGAGAAAGCATCGCTATGTCCTCTCTTCCAGTTTTATTTCTTGACTGTTCGTCTTCTTCAGCTTGCCCCCGGAGTGACCTCAGACTGCTAGCATGTGGGTTCTGAGTGGGACTTCCACGGGCCCCCTCGCCGCCCGCGCCCTGCGGGGGCGCCCCCCCCCCCATCTCACAGAGGGTTTAACACAGCACAGACTAGCTACAGCTTCAAGTCCTGACTTGGTTGCTGATGGCTGTGTGAGTTGGGAGAAGTCACTTGGTTTCCCTCTGCTTTGTGTCCTGTTGTAACATGGAATGACAGTCCTACCTCATGTCTAAAAAGACTTGAATTATTTCATTATCCAGACACTCATCACTAAGCCCAGACCTATTGCTTAGCTCTTCCTTCCATTAACCCATCCCATGTCCTTAATTCTCTTGCCACATCAGACTGTCTTCATAATTGTTTCTTCTCCTCTGGATTAGTCAGGGTTCGCTAGAGTAACAGAACCTATAGAATGTGTGTGTGTGTGTGTGTGTGTGTGTGTGTGTGTGTGTGTGTGTGTGTGTAGGGAAAGGACTTACTAGAATGGCTTACAGACTGGGGTCCAGCTAGTCCAACAATGTCTGTCAACCCCTGGAAAGTCCAAGAACCCAGTAGTTGTCCAGTCCATGAGGGTCTTCAGCTGGCCTCCAGTACAACCGGAATCCTGAAGAAGTAGGCTCTAATGCCCTGGAAGGGATGGACTGGCTAGTGAGAGCAGGCAGTCAAAGAGAAAGCCAAGTTTCCTTCTTCTGTGTCCTTTATCGAGGCTGCCAGGCAGAAGGTGTGGACCAGATTAAAGGTGGATCTTTCCACCTCAAAGATCCAGATTAGAAGTGGGTCTTCCCACACCAAACGATTTAATTTCATTAAGAAAGAAAACCCCTCACAGGTGTGCCCAGCCGTTTGGGCTTTATTTTATTAATTCCAGATGTAGTCAGATTGGCACAAAGAGTTGGTCACGTTGGTCATCGCACCCTCTTCTTTGTGTTACGTCCACGTCCAAATTTTACAAAGGCCACTTTGGAAGTCACTCCTAGCTGGGCCCAATGGCCGACACCTGTAATCCCAGCACCTGGAAGGTATCCAAGGAGGAGCCTGAGTTCAAGGTTGTCCTCCACCAATGTAACAAATTAAAAAGCCAGCCTGGACTGCATGAGACCCCACCTCAAATAAATAACTAAAAGTCACTCCTAAACTGGGCATGAAGTTGCACACCTGTAATTCCAGCACACCAGAGGCTGAGGCAAGAGGATCACAGATTCACGTCTAGTTGGGGTTACACAACAAGACCCCGGCTATAAATACATAAGTAAATGCCTCTCCTTTACAAAACATTTTCCCCCTAACTGAATGGCTCCTGTCTCCAAGGTTCGGTGGCCCTTTGCGGCTTCCTGAAGCAGGCGATATGGTCGTTTAAGCCCCAGCTGCAACATCTGACTTGCGTTTCCTCTCTCTGGTGCAGCCTGAGACTCTTTAGTCACCCGGCGGAGAGTTGAGTGGACGGAAAGTCAACTCTGCGACCCGCCGACCCGCCCTCGTGTTGGCCGGTGCGCTAATGATGCTTGTCTGGTTTCAGATTATCAGCAGCCTCTCATGATCGGCACTGGAACAGTCACGAGGAAGGGCTCCACCTTCCGGCCCATGGACACAGACACTGAGGAGGCCAAGGTGAACGCTGAGGCCAGCGGCCACTACGACTGTCCTCACCGCCTGGGCCGCCACGAGTACGCGTTGCCCTTGACGCACGCGGAGCCGGAGTACGCCACGCCCATCGTGGAGCGGCACCTGTTACGAGCCCACACCTTCTCCACGCAGGACGGTTACCGAGTCCCCGGGCCCAGGCCCACTCACAAACACTCCCTCTCCTCCGGAGGGTATCCCCCTGCCGCAGGGGCCACCCGGAGCGAAGGCTACCAGAGGCCAGCCAGCCCCAAGCCTGCGGGTGGTGGTGGCTACGACAAGCCCGCGGCCGGCAGCATCGTGGACAGCAGAGACCCCTCCCCGCAGGTGCAGGTGACTCCTGGGGTGGACGATGGTTATTCAGCACCCAGAAACGGCCTCGCACCCCTCCACCAGATGGCCGTGACCGCTCTTTTGTGAACCCAATGTGAAAGAAACCTGCTGTGGTACTGAGCGTGCTCTGCTGCGAGTCACCGGAAGGAGTGTGTGTGTGCGCACGTGTGTGACTCTTCGGGATCCTAGACAACCTCACTCACTGTTTACAGAACTGTGCAGCTGGTTTCCTTCCCGCCCCTTCCAGCAGACCCGGCTGGCTTCTGTTGCGCTGGACTGAGGAGACTTTCCTCACTTCTCCCACTGTGATGCTGTGCTGTAAAATGTGCAATTTGTACGGTCGTACTTAACGTGAATGAAAGGAAGGGAGTTTGTGGTGGTTTTCTACCCCGGGGTTATAAGGAGAAAACTCGGGATTTGCAGAGACGTGGTAGTTAGTACGTGTTCATGTTTCTCAGTGTGTTTGATGATCTGACACTGTTAGCAGCAGGTCTGTTTAAAAAAAAAAAAAACCCTGTCTGGTTGTGGTGGCTCATTTCCTCTTTGATAAACTAAAAGCATTTTTTGACATTCCTTCTCCTGGAAGAAATGAAATTACTTGAAATAGGAAAAGCACACGGGGGGGGGGGGGGGGGGGTAGGTGATTGTTCACTTTCATGGCCGTAGATTTATGCAAGCAAGCACACCCCCTCAGCAGCTTCTGCCTGCTTCCTTCGGCTCTTCTTGAGAGTGAGGGCAGCCCAGGGTCCTGGGGCCTGTGTGGGACCCAGCTGTACCCTGAGGGACCTCATTCTCTAAGGAAAGGGCCTGGTCTTACTGCACAGTGTTCCTAAGCAAATCGGCCTTTCCAGGGTGCTGAGACTCAACTTGTAATGAAGGTAGCTGAAACCGCTGTGGCTCGGGGGACTGTCAGGTATTTCTAGACCCCAGATTTGAAATGTAGCTGAGCTCAGAAGGCCTGCTTCTCACAACTTTCTCCAGAAATAGTGCACGTCGGCGACTTCCATTATCCCTGGAAAACAAATGTTATTTGAAATGTGTTCTCCCTCGTGTCTAAGTAGAGATTTCCAGTGGCGGGCTGGCAGTTGAACTGGTGGTGTAACAAAGCTGTTTTCTCCTAAATATGTGATTATACTCATAGAGTTGCACAGGTCTCGGCTGTACCTCATGTTCAGTGGTGTTCTCCCTGAGTTGGCTTTGTGAATTAACGGGGGGATTTAACCTCTTTGGCCAAAGAGGAGTAAGTATGTGTCTTGTTTGTTAATAGAAAATATGGCTCTCCCCCCCCCAAAAAAAACCCCAATCCTTTCCTTAAAAACTATTGTAACCCTATTTGTATGATTGTCATTTTCTATGAATTATACTGTGCTAAAATAGGGTGCTGAAGGGTCATGGCAGACTATCTGGTTATAGTGGAGGATAAACCATTTGCTTTATGGAGTTTACATGATTTTGTGTGTATACTAATTGTAATAAACTATGCCAAATCAGACAGCCCCTGAACTCTCGTTGGACCCCTGCTTGCTGGGCTGGTGAGAGGTTCACCCTGTAACTGGATTCCCACAATTCGGTTTGCAACTTTTTTTTTTTTAGATTGAGACTCTAATATAGCCCAGGATGGCTATCAACTCTCCATGTAGCCTTGGATGACCTTGGATTTCTGATCCTCCTGCCTTTGCCTCTCAAGTGCTGGAATTAGAGATGTGCACCTTCACATCTGGCTTTTTTTTATTTTATTTTTTGAGACAGGGTTTCTCTGTAGTTTTGGTGCCTGTCCTGGATCTCGCTCTGTAGACCAGGCTGGCCTCGAACTTACAGAGGTCCGCCTGGCTCTGCCTCCCGAGTGCTGGGATTAAAGGCGTGCGCCACCACTGCCCTGCTCACATCTGGTTTTACTTTCTGTCTTCTGAGAGGCTTTAGTCACACTGTCAAGTTAAATAATTCCAATTAGAGCATCTAATTCTTGGTGCCCAGTCTCCTGGGTAGTGGTTGCTTTTCCTGAGGATTTGTGGGAGCTGTGATTTAGACTGTGCCAGGGGCAACTCAGGATGTCAAGGAGCCAACGCTTCTGCCTCCCAGTCACACTAACGCTGCCACTTTAGAACATGCCTTCCATGAAGAGACGCGAGCATCATTAGCTGACCTGTGCTCACCTCCAGTCACCTGACTGTTTTGCTCACTGCATAAATCCTCTCCATTGAAATCCCAGTATTTCCATGTTATCTTTAAAGCGTTTGTACAGGTCTAGTCTATGTTTAGCATTGTCTACCCAACTCCTCTCCTTTTTCTTGCCTGCCCCCATCCCATTATCCCCTCTGTGACCCTAGACGGTTTCATTTCTTCTTCCGTTTTACATACACAGGCTTCATTTAAAATCAAAATCATGTGACCACATAAAATCTACTGACATCAGTCATGGTGGCACATGCCTGTTTTGTTTGGTGAGGCTGGATGTGTAGCCCTGGCTGTCCTGGAACTCAATCTGTAGAACAGGCTGGTCCCAAACTCACAGAAATCCACTGCTACGTTGTGGCACACACTTTTAATTCCAACACTTGGAAGGCAGAGGCAGGCTTGGTCTACAAAATGAGTTCCAGGTCAGCCAAGTCCCTGTCTCAAAAAACAAGCAAATAAAATCTGGGGGCCACAAATAAAATAAAACATGCCATTTCCCAGCACCCATATGGCAGCTCAAAACTGTAATTCCAGTTCCAGGGGATCCAACACCCTCACTCAGACATCCATTCATGCAGGTAAAACAACAATGTGTATAAAATAAAAATAAACAAATCATTAAAAATGCCATATTTATCGGAGACTGTCTTAATTTGCTTAATATCCTATTACATCCACTAAATTCTGTTTGGGGGAGACAGATTGGATGCCAGAAGTTCCCCTTCGGCAAGACTGCCTCATGAATTAAACTCTACACTTCAGTTTAGATACAGATTTAGATATGCACCCGTACAGAAATCTATATACACAAAGGGCAGAGTTTTACTTCAGGGGATAGAACCAGACTGTCCCATCCCAGTCACTGGCTCATCTAAGCAATCAGGTTCAGTGACAGTAGAGGGGCTGAGCTGTTTAAAAGCAGAGGCTGCAACTACTGTGCTAATTAACCAGGCTTCAACACTAACTGTCTTGGGACAACACACAAGTTCAGGCACCGCACCAAGTCCAGACAGTATTAGAAGTCATCAGACAAAGCGCTTGCTGCTTAGGTCTTACAACCTGAGCCCAGTGCCCGGAACCCACGAAAAGGTGGAAGGGGCCAGAACTGACTACAAGTCATCCTGTGACTTCCACACATATCCACGGCATGTGCAAGCCAACCCCATACACATGATAATAAGAATAATAAATACATGTATTTTCCTTATCTTAAAGACATGCCTCTTCGTAGCTTCAAAGTGAATGGCTTATAGGTAGCAGCAATTCCATAGAGAACTCATGTAAAAGGCAGAACACAGAATGGTTAGTTGCCTTTGTACCTTAACAGAAATGCATACACTTCTCAAACCTCTGTCCCTACAATAGAGTTCACTGCCCGTATCCAGGCCTTACACTTAGAACAAGAAAAGATCTTAAACATCTACACCAACTCCAAGAACAGGTTTGTAGTATCTGCCCATCTGGGAGTGGAATGTTGATGGCTAAAAATTTCCCAGTGAAATATAGGTATAATCTTCCAACCTTTGAGGCGGTACAACTCCCTAAACAGGAAGTCACGATTCACTGTGGCAGAAATTAATGGGGCAGACCCATGAGGGGCCAAGGGACTAATTGGCAGGTAAGGATGAGAAGTCTGTAGTGAAACCCCAAGCTCTCATGTAGTTTACACAACTACATAAACTTACGGCCCTGGCTCCAGACCCTCCTCATTTCATCAAAATGCCCAAAGACCACCTCCTCAGAAGTACAGAGAATACAGGCTGGACCACTGGCTGATAAAAGACCAGGCTCTGAAAAGATGAGCAAGGGAACCTATTAACCACAGGAGATAACTAACCTGCTAAGGAGGAACACCTAGGGCTTGATAATAAGCCACCCTCCCAGGAAAGGTGCTGCATAGAACTATGAAAATGTCGTTCAAAATGGGTACATTTCCATGTAAAACAGCCTCCTTCCCGTGTCCCCTCAACTTAAAATACTTTATTTTATGTGCAAGAATGTTCGCTGGCATGTGTGTCTGTGTATCACATGCCTGCAGTGCCCACAGAGGCCAAAAGAGGGAGTTGGAATCTGGGACTGGAGTTACAGACCATTGGGCTCTACCTCCTCAACTTTGTTGTTGTTGTTGTGAGACAGGGTCTCTACATGGAGCCCTGACTATCCTGGAACTCTCTATGTAGACCAGGCTGGACTCGAACTCATAGAGATGGACCTGCCTGCCTCTGCTTCCCGAGTGCTGGGATTAAAGGAGTGCTCCACCATTGCCTGGCTAACTTCAACTTTTTAAAGACTGTCCAGTATTAGATACATCTGCAGACAAAGAATGGCGATTAAACTTTACCTCAAAACCTTTAAAGCCAGGTGCAAATGTTCACAGGATTTATAGACAATTTCATAGGATCGAGGGAAGCCTTCCTCACTACCACAGAAAAGGTCTGCTAGAAATTATCACTATATCAGGGTTGCCCAAATCTCTCCGAAGTCTACAGGGCCTTTTTGTGTTGCAAAGTTGCAAAGTTGTAACTTGAACTCTCTTATTCCTCTTAAAATTAATGACAAACTATAGTCCACCTGCAATCTCCAGCCCTTAGGAAAAATAGAAAAACGCCAGACAGTGGTGGTGCACACCTTTAATCCCAGCACTTGGGAGGCAGAGACAGGTGGATCTCTGAGTTTGAGGCCAGCCTGGCCTACAGAGCAAGATCCAGGTCAGCCAGGGCTACACAGAGAAACCCTGTCTCAAAAAACAAAAACAAAAAAGTTGGTTTATATTATTTTTATTTTATTGAGATAGACCCTTATGCCCCACAGGATGTCCTCTGGCTTTCTATGTAGCTGAAGATAACCTTGAATTGTGATCCACCTACCTCTAACTCCCATGTTAGGACAGGCACTCCAACCACATCCTACCTGTAAGTGTGTTTGCATTTGGTGTCAATGGAATGAAAGCTCCCTCACTTCTGCTATTACCAGCTCTAATGATCTGTGCTAAATAAGAGTGCCCCTGACTGTCACATGGGCCCACCTAGCTTGGCTGGAAGGCTTATCTTCAAACCACATTTCTGTAATACAATTAAAAAGACAAAAACAACCATTGTTTTGTATGCCAACTTAAAAAAGGCACTTGCCATCAAGTCTGAAGACCCAAGTTCAATCCCCGGGTCCCACACGATGGAAGGAAAGAACAGACTCCCTGAAAGTTATTCTGCAACCTGCATACATGCACCATGCCTCTTCCCTCACAAAATAAATGTTTTAATGTAATAAAAGTTACAAAAAAAAAAAAAAAATACCCGACGCTCTCTTCTGACCTCTGAGGACGTGCATGTGGTGCACAGACATAAATGTGGGCAAAGCATCATATACATAAAATGAATATGTTGTAGAATATTATCTTGAGATGTGTTACTTTTTTTTGTGCTGTGGAACATTTGTTTAGTAATGCAAAGACATGTTGCATTCTTTTTTTTTTTAAGATTAATTTATTTATAATGTATATAGCGTTCTGCCTGCATGTATGCCTGCAGGCCAGAAGACAGCGCCAGATCTCACTATAGATGGTTGTGAACCACCATGTGGTTGCTGGGAATTGAACACAGGACCTCTGGAAGAGCAGCCATTGCTCTTAACCACTGAGCCATCTCTCCAGCCCTGTGTTGTATTCTTTTATGTTGCATTTATTTAACTCTGTGAAGCTGTGTTACTTTTCTTGTCTAAAACATCTGATGGTCTAATAAAGAGCTGAACTGCCAATAGTGAGGCAGGAGAAAGGATAGGTGGGGTTGCTGGCAGGCAGAGAGAATAAATAAAAGGAGAAATCTGGGAGGAAAAGAAGAAGGAGCAAGAGAACAAGGAGAGGAGGATGTTAAGGGCCAGCCACACAGCCACCCAGCCAGCCACAGAGTAAGAGTGAAAGTAAGATATACAGAAGAAAAGGAAAAAGCCCAAAGGCAAAAAGGTGGATGGGATAATTTAAGGAAAGCTGGCCAGGCTGGGCATTTATTAAGTAATAATAAGCCTCTGTGTGTGTGTGTGTGTGTGTGTGTGTGTGTGTGTGTGTGTGTGTGTGTGTGTG